CAGTTCATTTAGGGAGAAAAGCAAGAACTGTGGCATGTCCACCAGCAGAGACCTTAGAGTGGAATGGTTACCTGGGACCATCAGCTCCTGGGAGCCTCAATTTCATCTGTAGAATAGGGTGAAGAAGAAGAATACCAAACTTGTAGTGTTATGATGAGGAGTGAACAAAGATGCTAAGCCATTTTGTTATCACTAATGAGACAGGATCTTATCACAGTCTTATGGTTACTTATTTACATTTTCAGAGTCTCAGTTTCCTCATTTGTCAAATGGGGACAAGAAGACCTGGTTTGGCTCAGTGGATAGAGCGTCGGCCTGCGGACTGAAAGGTCCCAGGTTCGATTCCGGTCAAGGGCATGTACCTTGGTTGTGGGCACATCCCCAGTAGGGAGTGTGCAGGAGGCAGCTGATCGATGTTTCTAACTCTATCTCTTTCTCTTCCTCTCTGTGAAAAATCAATAAAATATATATTTTAAAATAAATAAATAAAACTTTTTTAAAAAGAAGACCTGTCTTAGAAGGTGGTTGCTAGAATTAACTGAGATAAGGGACATGTAAGCACCCAGCTCAGATCTTCGTAGTTTGACCAGACAACCCCTGTTCAGTGCATTCCCGCCCACCCACTCCAGATCAGTCTGGGAGTCCTTGGGCGGGAGCAGCTGCCCACCCAAGAAGGTGAGGCAAAGGAGGCCCTGGGCTGGCTGAATCCTTAGGAAAGGAAGGCTCCAGGCAGCAGAGCTTCAGAGATTTCAGCCAGATTTGGGAAGGAGGAGGGTGTTTCTAGGTACAAATGCCCTCAGGCTTCCATCTGGTGACCCTACCAGAGCTGACTGGATTGCAGGGTGCCGGCTAATCCAAACCCAGATGGTCAGAAGCACAGAGCTAAATATAGCCGACCTGGGTGAAACTTTCATGTATTAATTTCCTTTAAATCCGTTTTAAAAATAAGTGAAAATTTTAATTAAAAAAAAAAAAAAAAAGGTATGTAAAGGTCAGCTGAGGCGATGACTTCCTTCAGCCTGTGGCTAGTTTTCCGGTCATCCTGGCTGGTTGGATGCCAGACAATGCCGAGTGTGGGTTACCCTGTGGCTTGGAGTTGCCAAAGGCTGTCTGTGGTGTTGCTGTTCAGGGTTGGCCTGGCAGGCTTTTTCATCCCTTTCCCTCAGGACATCATTTCCCACCCCCATGAGGCTGACGGAGGACTCTGCCCTGCTCTGCACTCTCATGGCTCCTCTCCAGCTCCCTTGAACCTAAAAAAATTTGCCTTGACCTTGTGTTTTTCCTTGTTAGAGCTCATGGTATCTGCCTGGGCATCTTAGCGGCTCAAGGGTCATTTCACCTTCTATTTATTCCACATTTCCCACGGCAGAAACAATTATTACTAGAGTCCCAAGACCAGGATCAGCAGCGGAACCCCACCTGGACCCATTGTGGATTAAGAGTGCTGCTTTCTGGGTCATTTTTAAATTTTTTTTTTTATTATTATTTTAAAAAATATATATTTTATTGATTTTTTACAGCGAGGAAGAGAGAGGGATAGAGAGTTAGAAACATCAATGAGAGAGAGTCATCGATCAGCTGCCTCTTGCACACCCCCTACTGGGAATGTGCCCGCAACCAAGGTACATGTCCTTGACTGGAATAGAACTCGGGACCTTTCAGTCCGCAGGCTGACGCTTTATCCACTGAGCCAAACCAGTTTCAGCTTCTGGGGTCATTTTTTAGAGACAGAAATGGAGTGTTTTATACAGCTGTCTACCTAAACAGAATATGGTGGTCCTGAGTGGTATCATCTGGGATATTTTCCTTTTCCCTACAATAGAAGTCAACTGCAGAAACTGCTCCCCTAGCCACTGGCCTCAGACAGGCTTTGTTGACTGGAAGCAAAGCCATCGCCTGCCTCTCCCAGTGTTTCCCAAAGTGTGGTACACGTACCCCCAGGGGTACGGGAAGAGTTTGGTGGGGGTACGTGTTGCACCGGAGTTTGGTGGGGATATGCATCGCACCGGGCTTAGCTGCACCTAATTCTACATTCTCATGAGTACGAGGGGTACTCAGCGTTACGAAAATTATAGAAGGGGTACACATATGTCAAAAGTTTGGGAAACACTGAACAATGGCTGTGTTGCCCTGGTGTCCAAAGGGCTTAGCTGAAATGGGAAGACTTGAGACAGAGGCAGCAGATGAATGAAAGCTTCTGTTACTGTGAGTGACTTAGTTCTGCCTTGGTGCCTTGGGAACGAAGCTGCCTCACTCACCTCTCAAAATAAGTTGCAGATGTTTGAAGGCTGGTTTTGTCTGCACTTTGCCTGTGCTGATGTGGAGTTTCCCCCTCCAGTTTCATCAGAGCCTTTAGGCAGCAAAATAAAAACGGCATCTTTGCCAGATGTAGCTGATACAAACTGTTCAGTGGACCCACAGGCACTCCCACTCCTTCCTTTGGGTAAAACTGCTCTTTCCTTCTTTCAACCATCAGGTTCTCTCTGAGGATGTCAAACCCAGACTCCCAAGTCTAGATGGGAGCGTATATGACATAAACTGGTCAGTGTCATCACATCAGCCTGGATATAGTGATTTGGTAGAGGGGAGAGTATCTGACCTGGGTTAATCAAAGACTTTCCCAGGAATTTTGTGACTTGGCAATGGGAAAATGGCTGTTCCTGTCCTTTGCCAGGAAATTAATGCCATCAAGAGAGCTTGAGAGCACTAAGGAGTCAGAAGAAATGGAGGAATAAAAAAAAGAGACTCTCTCTGTGATTTATTTACTTAAAATAAAACAGACCCCTTTTTAGCTCTATTTGCTTGAATTGGGTTTCTGTCACTTGCAATTGAAGAAGACCTGAGAGGAAGATTCTGAGAAAGAGGGAGGCCCAACAATACTGGTTGTTGACATCCATATCTACTCTATTTGTGTACAAACATACATTCATTCACACATGCTTGGTATGGACAGAGGAGCATGCCCTGGGAAGGAATAGACTCTCTATTTACTATTCAGAAAGAGTGTGTTTGTTAAAACTATCAGCCTACAGGTCAGACTTCGCTGACAATTCCCTCCCTGAACTTGGGTGATGGATCACTTCTGGACCTCAGTTAGGGTTACCAACCATCCCATTTTGCTTGGGAGTGGGTGATTTCCTGGGACATGGGAGTTTCATTGCTAAAATAGGACAGTCTCAGGAAAACCAGGACAGTTGGTCACTCAAGCTCAGTACTATATCTATAAACATGAGATAGGACTAGACAAGGGTGGGAAATTCAGCCAAACTCTGCGTTCACACAGACATTACAAATTGCTCTGGGCACTAATTCCCATGAGTTTAGGTATCTCTTCACAATCCTTTGCAATATGGCCAGTTACTGTCAATCAGAGTTGGCACCACTTGCCATCCTTGGACTGAGTTTTTGACAAGTTGGAATTTCAAGAATCAGAATTTTTAAAAAATATTTTTTATTGATTTCAGAGAGGAAGCGAGAGGGAGAGAGAGATAGAAACATCAATGAGGAAAGAGAATCATTGATTGGCCGCCTCCTGCATGCCTCCAACCTGGGATTGAGCCTGCAACCCCAGGCATGTGCCCTTGACCTGAATTAAACCCAGGACCCTTTGGTTCGAAGGCCGAAGCTCTATCCCCTGAGCCAAACCAGCTAGGGCAATGATCGGAATTTTTAATATATATATTTTTTATTAATTTCAGAAAGGAAGGGAGGAGAGAGATAGAAATGTCAATGATGAGAGAGAATCATTGGCTTCTTCCTGCATGCCCCCTAATGGGGACCCAGCTCGAAACCCTGGTAAGTGCCCTTGACTGGAATGAACTCAGGACCCTTCAGCCGGCAGGCCAACGTTCTATCCACTGAGTCAAACAGGCTAGGGCAAGGTTCAGAATTTATTGAGGATCAACTTGGAGTCAAGGTCTGTCATAAACCCCAAGTCAGACTCTCTACAGCTTGGGCTCAATGACTCCTAGAAGTTGTGAATCTTTTGGGATTTGTTTGCACATTTGGGTAAAGGTATGGACTGGCATTAGGATACTTTATAAATCCAGCTTGCTATTCTTTAAAAACGTAACTTAATCCAGTGTTCATTATGTGTTAGGCCTACATCAAAGCTCTCACTCTAATACTGTGAACTTATTCAATTCTGAATTTTGGAAATGAGCAAACAGAGGCTGAGCGGTCCAAAGTCTCATCTAAAGCTCCAATCAGCAGGCAAGGGAGTCCAGTAAGATCTCACCTAGGACCTTCTGACACTCACAGCTCCGACCTTTCCATCATGACCTGGGTTCAAGTGGGGATGCTCTGGTCTGATTCCACCTTTCGTCTCTGCATTGCACGTTTCACACCCACCCATCCCCTTCGGTTTGGAGGCGCAAAGTCCCCCAAAGACTTAAATTTCCTCGCGACTCGGAAATCCAAAAGTTCCAGCCGGTCGAAAAGAAAGGAACCGCTCTCTCCATCTCCACCGACCGGGCGGATCCCCACGGGGCGGTCCCACCATGAGTGGCCCGCGGGGTCAGCCCCGGGGAGGAGGGCCGCGCGGAGGGAGGAGCCAGGCTCCCCGCCACCTAGCGGCCCGCAGGCCGGGGCGGCGCATGCGCGGCGCGGGCCGCGGAGTTGTGAATGGTACGTTTTGTTTGCCGGAGTTTGGGGCGGGCGGGCGGGCGGGCGCGCGAGGGGCGGGGTGGGGCCGGCGGGGGCGGGGCCGGCGGGCCAGCGAGGTGGGCGGTGAGAGGAAGTGGCGGCGGCGGCGGCGGCGGTCGGGGGCGGTGGGTGCTGGGTCCGCGCGGGCGGCAGGCAACGGCTGAGGCGGCGGCGGCGGCGGCGGCACCACCATCTCAGACCCCGGGAGCCGGAACCCACGCGCGCGGGCGCCTCAAACAAAGGGCTCCGCGGGCAGCGGTCAGTCAGTCGGTCCACGCGGAGCCGGCCAGCGGGTGGCCCGCGCTAGCCCCGGAGCCCGACCGGCCCTGACGCGGTCTGACCCAAAGGGCGGGAAGATGCCGCGCGTCGTGCCCGACCAGAGAAGCAAGTTCGAGAACGAGGAGTTCTTCAGGAAGCTGAGCCGCGAATGCGAGGTGAGGCGGGCGGGCGGGCGGGACGGCGCGCGGAGGCCGCGGCGCGCGCCCCGAGTGGGCCCGGGCGGAGAAAAGTTTGGGCGGCGCGACCCCCCCGGGACCCTCTGGACCCCTCCCCGGGACCCCCCTCCCGCGGCGGGGGGCAATCTCGCCGCGGCCGCCGTCTGCCCGCAGGCTCTGCTTGCCCTTATCGGCGTCGCGCGGGGCGGCGGGCGGGCGGGAGGGCGGGCGCGCGGGCGGCGCCGCCGCGGATTTGGCTCCTGATTTCGGGCTGTGTGTGTCCGCCTTGCAGATTAAGTACACGGGCTTCAGGGACCGGCCCCACGAGGAGCGCCAGGCGCGCTTCCAGAACGCCTGCCGCGACGGCCGCTCGGAGATCGTAAGTCAGCGGGGGGCGGGGGGCGGGGGGTTCGGGGTCCCGGGGGCGCCGGGGCGCGCGCGGGTCACTTGTTGCGCGGGGGCCGCCGCGGCCCTAGGTCGGTTCCGGACGCCGCGGGCCCCGGAACTGAGCGCGGCGCCGTCTCACTTCCTACTCGGGATTCAAAATGCGAAAGCGGAGCCCGGCGGCCGCGCGTCCTCCTCGCGCGGAGACGCTTCCCCGGGGCCCGCGGCGGCGGCGGCGGCGGCGGGTCTGGCTCGCAAGACGCGCGACTCGGTAAGCTGCTGTCGGCGCGAACAAACCGGAACAGGCGATCACCGGGGAAGGTTAGGTGTAGGCTCTCGGGTCAGGGATCGGGTGTTTCTAAGCAAGAAAACATCCCCTTCGGGGGGAAAAAAAAGAACCGGGCTTCATTCAAGGATCTGGCTCCAGGACGATAGAGTTCGTTGGTAAGTCTGTATGTGAAGCGCTCTCATTGCCCAGGAGAACTAAGAAGAATAAAACTTGACGCCAGTTATCTATTGTCCTTAGAGAGGAGGAGAAGAAGAAATGACCCAAGGAACATGCCGCGATCTTTTCTTAGAATGTTAAACCCCAGGAGAATCAGAGAGAAACCATTATCGTCTTTTTCTTTTTTTTTTTTTTTTTTTTTTCCCCCCAAAGCTAAAAAGCATACCCCGTTTGTGCTGCATGGATTTTCAAAAACCACAGTTGATCTTGAGGCCGTATTGTAAGTGGTAGATTTAGTGCGTTGCCTCCATCCAACCTAATGTTAAAGGAGAAAAAAATTAAAGTGTTTTAGTGTCCCTGATCTTTTGATTTGTTCGATGCTAAGGAAGGGGGGAGGGGAATGAAGAAGCCAGAGAATGGATAGGAAGAAAAGGAAAGGTTGATTATTTAAAAAAAAAAAAAAAAAAAAAAAGTTGAAATATTATGTGATGGAATCCAATAATTACTCCGTGATCGGGCCCATTGCATTTGAAGAGACTTGAAGCTACTGTGCAGTTTGGGTTAACAATAGGAGGACATATTGGTACATTTACTTCTCCATCACCTCCTTTATAAAGCATCTACGTATTTATTTTTATTCAGATGTAATTTACATACCATTAATTTCTCTTCACCAAAATCAAATTTATTTCTAAAGGTTATTTCCATATTTAAAATGAAGGTTTTTTTAGTATCATATTACAGAAAATGAGAAGATCCTGGCTAAATTTACCAGGAGCTCTAGAATAGTTGATGATTATTGCATGTTATGAAAGAAAAGCTCCTGCTTTCAGCCCACTGCCAAATTTTTTGAGTAGTTGTAATCATATGATATAATGTGTAAGACAAATAATTTTGGTTTTGTTATTGAGTGTTAAAAGAATCATTTATTAGTCGGTCACGTAATTGTATCATCCTTTGCATGTGCTTCCTTTTGCAAAAGGTATACCTAACCAGTGGATTTCCTGGAGGTAATTGATGTAAAAGTTGAGATACAAGCTATTGTCAGGACTTTTTTAAAGCTGAGGGTTTTTATTTTTATTTTTTTAAACCAAATGAAGAATAGCTATTAACAGTTTTTCTCTCATATCAGACTTTACTGCATGTAATTATGAACTGGGAATATAATTCAACCCAAAGTGTATCTGAATTACTGTACTATAATGTTGCTGTAATATTAATAGATGGCATGTATTTGTCATAAATTTCTTTCCGGGGATAAATCAGACAGATATTCTAGTTCTTCCTCTCTTCCAAATATTTCATCCTGCAAGTTTTAATAAGTTCTTAATATTCGACAAGTATTGAAAGTTGAAGGTGCATTGAAAGATTTGCTCTGAAGATGGCCATACGTGTCTTAATTTGTTGAGTAATGTAACTATTTGCATTTGGTAAGGGATTTCATATTACCCTCTCTAGTTTCCCCCTTTAATTCCATGTCCTCCACATGTAAATTACAGTATTCTTATCTCCAGAGGGTGGAGACCTTGTGGTTATATTCATTAATATACTTCCCTCTCTGCAGGTACTTTGCACAGTGCCTTTTGCATCATAGATACGTGATTAATTCAGTTTAGATGTTACTTAATGTAATGCCTAAAATTTGTCTTTTGAATTATAAATAGGCGTAGCTTTTACCTATTTGGTTATGAAAAATAGATGTGGAAAAGGTATTCTTTGGCCTCTATTTTGACAGCAGTTATATATTGTAAAAATATTCATATTTTCCACAATTATTCCCAATCTAAGTTCTGTGATGCTCATCTCTTCTTAACTATAAGGTAGTATGAATAAAAGTTTAGATCATGAGTGAGGGATAAAATCTATTTGATAAACTGATTTATTCCTCCGGTAAGTTCTTACTGTAGAAAAAGTGTTGGAGATGTCTTCAACACTAATGATTAATAAAAGAAAAAAATACTTATGATAGGTATGGTGACTACTGGGAGAGCAGTGAATACCATATGTATGTTTTTAAAAATTTATTGTTTTGAGAGAAAGAGATGGGGTGGTGAGAGATTGATTTGTTGTTCCATTTATTTATGCATTCATTGGGTGTATGCCCTTATTGAACTGATAACCTTGGGGTGTCAGAACAATGCTGTAACTGACTGAGCTACCTGGCCAGGACAAAACCATATATTTTTAATCCTGAAAATGGAAGGATAAAAGGTATGTTGGATTGGCACAATGTGTGCTGTTTTATAATTTATGAAACCTATAACAAATAGGGCAATCTGGAAATCTTACATATAGACAGGGATACTGGTGTAGCATTTTTATGTTTTCAAATATAATTTCCTGAGCTCATGTATGTATAGGTATTCCATTAAAGAGTTCTGTGGTCAAATAAATTTGGGGCCAAGACCGGTTTGGCTCAGTGGATTGAGCGTCGGCCTGCGGACTGAAAGGTCCCGGGTTCGATTCCGGTCAAGGGCACGTACCTTGGTTGCAGGCACATCCCCAGTAGGGCATGTGCAAGAGGCAGCTGATCGGTGACTCTCTCTCATCGATGTTTCTAACTCTCTATCCCTCTCTCTTCCCCTCTGTAAAAAATCAATAAAATATATTTAAAAAAAAAAAAATAAAATAAATAAATAAATTTGGGAAGTGTTATTCTAGAATGATCTGTGTGTTTTTTTTAATCATTCCTATCTCAGAGAGAGGGATCTTGATGAGATAATGGGCATAAAGTGAGGAAGCAGGAAATCTCTTCTGAGGTTGGCTTTCAGATAGGAGATGAGGTAATAAGATCTGTAGACTGTTTTTACTGAGCGTAGAGCTGATTTGGGATACAGTGGGTGGAAGGATTTGTTACTGAGTGAAGACTGAAGAAACTTACCTGGGAGATTTTGATACAAGGCTTCATGTCATGGGGTGAATCTCTTACTTGCCACCACTCTGCTCTGAGAATTTAATTATCTGAGGATGGAAAAAGTTAGCTCAAAGTTATTTCTCTTATTTTATTTAGCTGGTACTTATATATCATTTACTTGATCTGTTCTAAGCTCTTTACAAATATTAATTTGTGAGGAAACTGAGGTAGAGTTAAGTACCTTGCTTAAGGAAACAGCTAGCAGTCTGCTTTTAATTTAAACTATTTAATTTCACTTGATTATTTTTTAAACCTATGCTAATAGTGGGATAAGATTTTTTAAAGTTAATATTGTAATGACGGCTGTTCAGAAGAAAGGGTATCTCAGTTGATTAGGGAAATGCTATCACAACTATAGAAATTGAGCAGTTAGGTTGATAATTCTATGTACGGTACCAGTAATAAAAATAGGAAGTATAAATTTTACCTCTAAAAAGAAAAATTAAGCTGTTAAACATCAGGGGAACTAGAGGATAGTTGAATCAGCTAAAGGCTTTGAACAAATCGACAAAATGTGAACCCTTACTTTCAGATGAAAACTCTGCTTGAAAACTTGATGCTTTACAACTTTAATTGTTATAATAAAACAAAAACATTCTATTTTGATTAATAAAAGAAAAAATTGCAACAAAGAAAAGTTTACATTTAGATGATGAAAAATGTGTGTGTTTTTTTCCCAAAATGCTTTTTACTTCTTAATTTCCCTTGGGGAAAAGGGACAGTGTTCCATTTTTTTACTTGGGGGAAATAGTTAAATTGCTCAGGGACTATACAGATTGACACTTTATTGAAATGGATTTAGATTGTTCTGTCTGTTGAGCTATCCTAATCTTTTATAAATATTAGATGAATACTCTTTTGTTATAGTCAGATCCAGTTATCCTGAAGTCAGATTTTAGAAAATGCTGTGTGATTTTTAATCTAATCCAAGATTTTAGAGAGAATGGGAAGTGCTAATACTACTAATGTATGGTTTATCACAAGTGGACAGTCCTGGGCACATACTAATGTATGGTTTATCACAAGTGGACAGTCCTGTGCATTTTTAACATGTGCTTTAAAGCAAGGGCTAGCAAGAAAAATTAAAATGTTCCATTTATACAACTTCAAATTGTATATTTTAGAATTCAAAATGTTTAAATCTTCAGTGATTTTTCACACTTAAAAAATAAAGTTTTTAAATTTAGGGATGGTAGCTTCTGGTTAGACATTAGCAATGCACAATCCTAACGTCAGCAAAAACTGACTTGAAAGAAAGTATTGATTTCCATGGCTTGATTTTAAATTTAAGCAGCCAATGGCAAATGTCCTCAAAATGGAATCAGATGTTTGTAACTTAATACTTAAGAAAAATGATGAGTGCATGTTTTTTACTTTTAAGTATTCTCGGTGCTGCCTGGCTTAAGACAGAAACTGATGTAAAAATAAATGACTGTCTGCATAATTTATGTAATGTCCTGCTCCTGATCCTGTTTGTATTGATTTTTCTAAAAGGCTTTTGTGGCCACAGGAACCAATCTGTCTCTCCAGTTTTTTCCGGCCAGCTGGCAGGGAGAACAGCGACAAACACCTAGCCGGGAATATGTCGACTTAGAAAGAGAAGCAGGCAAGGTAGGAAACATTGCTTTGTAATTTGAAATGCTATAGGTTGTTTTATTAGAAATTATCTGATGATTTATATTAATAAAGAGGTTGTAGTTCTGATTATAAAGGGATATGTTTTCATATTATAAGGATACATAATTTTTAAAAATCACTCAAACTTTTATATCATTCCATTGCTGATTTCATGTGTATTAATATTCATCTTAGAAAGTTCTAGCATTTAAAGAGAGTAGTGTGCTTTTCTTACACGGAACATTCAAAACTTAGTTTCTTTAAATGTTCAGCAGGAAATAATCTTTTTTTTTTTTAAACTAAAATATTTGTGAGTACAGTGCTGTAAAAAAGAAATTTAGAGAAAAATGAGAAAAGGCTTTGTGGCGAGGCTTTAAATTTAATAATAGTTAGAAATAGCTCCTGGGTAGCTTTCTGCTTCTGTTAGTAATTTAATTTTGAAAAAAAGCAGCATGAAAATTTTAACTGGGAAATAATTTATTTGTTTTGAGAAAATGCTTCTGAGAAAACAGATGTCATAAAATTTTTATGTTGGAAGTTTATGTTGAAGATTAAAAATGTAAGTGGAATTGTTTAACTTGAGAAAATGCTGTGTGATTTTTAATATGATAAAAATTATACATATTAACTTATGTATATTACAATTTTGGTGAAATTTTAATGAATATTTTGGATTGGTTCATCTTTTTATGTAGAAGTCAACTTCAATATATTATAATATTTTAAAAAAGAATATTTTAACCTTATTTTATATTTAACTTTTCTCCTGTTTCTTTTGCAGTGTTTCCATCAAATTGCTAAATTACTTTTCTGTCATGAATAGCATAACCTATCACTTTATTTGTAAAACATAAAAAATATCTGAATATTCCTTTGAGGAACGAAAAAAAAAATTGTATTAGGTAGGAAAAGGATTTCTAACTTCTATATATATATATATATAATGAAGACTAATTTGTTTTCTTTAATTTTATGAAATAAGGTTTGATCTTTTGTCAGTGATAAATTAATTTGGAAAGAGAGGAGAAAATAGGTACAGAATGTAAAAAATCTAACCTACGAATCTAACCTAATAATAGAGTAATATGCAAATTAACCATCTGTCACACAAGCCACACCCACTGGCCAATCAGAGTTACTATGCAAATTAACCCAACAAAGATGTCATACCAGCAGGAAGGTGTGAAGCCTGAAAACAGCATAGAAGGAAGAGGGAGGGAAAGTGGAAAGCAAGGCAGCTGCAGCTGCTGGAGGGAAAGCACTGGCAGATGTGTAGGGCAGGGAGAGGTGCACAGCAGCATGCGAGAAATATTGATATGAGAAAGACATGTCAATTGGGCTGAGGATTGAGCTTGCAACCAAGGTACATGGCCATGACCAGAATGGAATCTGGACCTTTTAATCCTAAGGCCAAAGCTCTATCCACTGAGCAAACCCAGCTAAGGTTAAGGGCAAAAGTTTTGAAGCCATTATATGATTTTTGCTTTTTCCTTGGGTGGATGGGGGGATCTATTTGGCATATGTATGTATGACTAAATTGAAGAAATTACTGTTTTCCTTGTTCAAAATTCTTCCTTAAAGTGTGTTGAACATGGTAGCTAAGATCCAGCACACATAGACCAAAATAAATCCTTTTCTTTCAACTTTAATGCTAAACTATTTTGATTTCAAAATTGATATCTCACTTGGCTGGTGTGGCTCAGTGGTTGAGCATAGACTTAGGAACCAGGAGGTCACAATTTGATTCCCAGTCAGGGCACATGCCTGTGTTTTAAGCTTAGTCCCCAGTAGGGGGTGCTCAGGAGACAGCCAATTTGTAATGATTCTCTTTTATCATTAATGTTTCTATATCGTTCTCTCCCTCTTTGAAATCAATAAAAATACATTTTAAAAAATTGACATCCCAATGTTACTGAAGTTTTCCAGTGTTTAATAACTATTAAATGGTGTTAACTCTACTAGGAAGTGTATTTGCTTGAATTAATTTAATGACATACGTTTACTGGATTGAAGACCATGTTATTTTTGGATGTAAGCCTCTGAGATGTTTTTAGTTTTATGACCAACAATACCAAAAATGTTTTAATGGCATATTCTAGTATTTAGTATGTGTTTTCAAATATTTCAGGAAAAGTGATAAAAAACAATGTAAGATATCAGGAAACTTGCATTTCATTAATGTTTGTTTTAGAAGTTTTTTTCTGTAAAGGGCCAGATACTAAATATTGTTATTTTGCTCTCTGTTGCAACTACTCATTTCAGCTGTTAGAGTGTGAAAGAGGCCATAGACAGTGTGTAAACAGATGAGTGTGGCTGTGTTCCAAGAATGGTAACACTGGCCAGAAAAATCAGTATCTTTAGATTTAAATCTGTAAATGTTTATGTGTAGGTTCATATATTTCTCAAATATAATTTTGCCAACACCTGTACTACACTAGTAGAATCTACAGGGGGGAAAAGCATTTTAAAGCAAACAAGAAAACAACTGCTCATGTTACACCATACTACTGGGATGAAGTATGCCGGAGAATTTGGGTAAAAAGTACTGACCAATGTTTTTTCATCTGTGGAGTTCATGGGTCTTTTTCTCTTTCTCCTTTTTGGGGGGGAAAAAAAAAAAAAAAAAAATATATATATATATATATATATATATATATATATATATATATTTTATTTTATTTTATTTTATTTTATTTTATTTCTTAATGGGTTTCAGAGAGGGAGAGAGAGAAAAACATCAATGATGAGAGGGAATCATAGACCAGCTGCCCTCCTGACGCCCCCCACTTGGGACTGAGCCCACAACTTGGGCGTGTGCCCCTGACCGGAACCAAACCTGAGACCCCTCAGTCCGCAGGCCAATGCTCTGTCCACTGTGCCAAGCCAGCTAGGGCTCATCCTCTTTTTTTATGGTCTCTTTCTGGTAACCATTAGCTTCTATTTCTATCTCAATGGGGCTACGATTAGAAGCAAGTAAAAACTGAAGGAAATTTTCCCAAATGGTAATTATTTACCTCTGCTCCTTATATTGGATCACAAATCAATGTCTTCCACATATTTTCAACCAGGTTACTTCTTGAAGTAGCTTAGTTTTCTTCCCATTCATACCCAACTTTGAGAAAACTAGTGGTTAACAATGCTTTAGGATTAGGCAGAATTAAGTCTTGGTTTCATTTACTAGTATGTAACTTTGGGCAAATTATTTAATCTATGTTTTTCATTGTAAAATGAGGTTAATAAATACTTTCTAAGATTGCCCTAGTTATTGAAATAGTGAATATAAAGTGCTTAGCCCAGTACATGGCACAGTTATAAAAAGTTCATTCAGAATGTATTGGTTGAACCCTGTTATATACTGAGCACTGTCCTAGGTACTTGTGATACATCAGTAAACACACACACACACAAAAAGATTCTGCCCTGGAGGTTGTTTTATGGCAGGAGTGGAGGAGTAGACAATATACATAATAAATAAATTATACCTTATGTTGCAAAGTGATGAGTGCTCTGGGAAAAAGAGAAAAAATAGAGTAAAATAAGGATGAGCAGGAATGTTTGCAGTTACCAATAAGATGGTTTGGGTAAAGAAGATCATATTTGATCAGTGACCTGAAGGAGGTTAAGAAATGATGAGCCATTTTGTATGGGAAAAGGTGTTCTAGACAGAGGAGACCTCCATTGTAAGGCTCTAGAGTGGAAGCATACACTGTGTGCTGGATAGATGGCAAGCAGGCCACAGTGACTGGAGTGGACTGAGCAAGGAGAATAGTAAGAGATGAGATTTGGGAGATAACAAGAAGCCAGTTTAGCCGAAACCTGTTTGGCTCAGTGGATAGAGCATCGGTCTGTGGACTGAAAGGTCCCAGGTTTGATTTCGGTCGGGGGCATGTACGTTGGTTGCGGGCACATCCCCAGTGGGGGGGGTGCAAGAGGCAGCTGATCAATGGTTCTCTCTCATGGATGTTTCTCTCTATCCCTCTTCTTCCTCTCTGTAAAAAACCAAGAAAATATATATTTTTTTTTAAAAAAGAAGAAGCCAGTTTGTGTGACCATGGTAGCCACTGTAATGAGATGGACTTTGAGTGAAATGGAGAGATGTTTCAGGATTTTGAGCAGGTGAACGATATGATCTGACAGAAATTTTGAAAGGTTCGCTCTAACTGCTGAGTTCATGATAGGCTACAGGGGATAAGAGTGAGGCAGGGAGATCAATTTACTATTATGGTAGTAGCAGTGGAGGTGGTGAGAAGTTGTCATAGTATGCATGTATTTTGAATTAGAGCCAACAGTGTTTGCTTCTGGATTGGATGTGGGGTGTGAGAGTTAAGAAAGGCTCCTACATTTTTGGCTTGCTGTCATTTGAGATGGGATTGCTGTCATTTGAGATGGGAAAAGCTGTGGGTAGAACAATTTTGAGGAGCAGTTTAGAACATGTGAGTTTGGTGGTAGATTGTTATTACAACTTATCTTTTCTCTACCCTTAAGTCATGGCACTGCTTTTTAAAAATATACTTTTATTGATATTTTACAGAGAGGAAAGGAGATGGATAGAGAGCCAAAAACATCTATGAGAGAGAAACATCGACCAGCTGCCTCTTACACACCCCCTACCGGGGATGTGCCTGCAATCAATGTACATGCCCTTGACCGGAATCAAACCTGGGACCTTTCAGTCCGCAGACCAACATTCTATCCACTGAGCCAAACCGGTTTTGGTAGCACTGCTTTTTTGTCTGCTTAGCTCAAGAATTCAATGGCCTTTTAAAAAGAATTACTCTCCCAAGCCAGTTTTGCTCAGTGGATAGAGTCTTGGCCTGTGAACGGAAAGGTCCCAGACTTGATTCTGGTCAAGGGCACAAGCCCATTTGTAGGCTCGATCCCCAGTGGGGGACTTGGAAGAGGCAGCTGATCCACCATGATTCTCTCTCATTGTGGATGTTTCTATCTCTCTCTCCCTCTTCCTTCCTCTCTGAAATCAATAAAAAATATAAATA